GGGGTGGGTGTGGGTTGTGGAGCTTATCCCAGCTGTCTTCGGACAGTACACACGCACGCACGCACGCACGCACGCACGCACACACGCACACACACACTCGTGCACACAGTGTAGTGTCTTTCCTTTTAAATTGCAAGGAAACATGACAATTTTCCGGAAAACCACTCTCTATTTATTCACAAACAACAATCAAATGAAAAGAAAAAGATTACTAAAACTGAAATAAAACACCAACACTGGGGAACACAATTTTTGTTGAGTTAGGTCTGACAGCTGTTTTAACAAATTTTTGGGTGCGGAATCCAAAACTGATCTCAGTTTTTCTCTATCGTGTTTTTGAGCTATCGGATCCCAGTTTTGTTAAAACACATGAAATAAATGTGACAGCATGTAAAACACAAATATGCCATAGTCACATCCACACAAGGGTCACAGGGAGTGCTGGAGCTTATCTCACCTGTCTTCGGACAGTCGGCGGTGGATACCCTGAACCGGTTGCCAGCCACACTCACACCCAGTGGGACAATTTAGAGTGTTCAATCAGTCTGCCATGCATGTTTCTGGAATGTGGGAGAAAACTGGAGTACCTGGAGAAAACCCACGCAGGCACGGGGAGAACATGCAAACTCCACACAAGGAGGCCTGAGCCGGAATTGAACCCTGCACCTCTGCACTGTGAGGTCGACGCGCTAACCACTGGACCACCGGGCCACCCTATTTGTATAAAAGAATATTCTCATGTGGATGTCTTCAGAATGTGACTATTTTTAGGAGGATGTGCAGGGGAGTCATTCAGCATTTCTTTCTTTGTGGTGAAAGAAACATAAAACGCAAACTTTGATGCCCCGCCGCAGTCGTATTGTACTTCAAAATCTCAACAAAAAAAAAAAGATCCATGTGGTTGCCCTGAGTATTAGATGGTATCGCCTAAGATTGCTCCATGTAGAGCACTTTGCATACAGCAGTGGCTGTTTGAAAGTGCTCTACACATACAGTTGAGTTGAGTTGAGTTTGTAGTAATTCAACTGTACATGAAATGATCAGGATCCAGTGAATGACGTTGGGTGTCGTACTCTGGTCATCACTTTGATGGCATACTAAAAAGTACCTGAACCAAAAGTGAATGCATACCACTGTCCTCACTCTCAGCTGCAATGTCACCCTCCGCCATACAGTGGATGCCATCTCCGGAACACGACTTGAGGAAGTCCTGTGCCGCGTTTCTCTGCTGAGGACCTGACACAGCAAATGCTTAAATGATCATTGGGTAGTAAGACGATGTTGATTGTATCTTGGGGGGAAACACCTTGGAATTACCTGGGGCAATATGTGGCAGTGGGTCCACCTCCATGATGAAGTCCTCCTTGAGGCACAGGAAACCCACGATGGAGAAGAGGTAGACAAGGATGAGGGCGAGCAGTGCAGTCAGCAGGATGGAGCGTCCGTTGCGCGTCACACTCTTGATCACGTTGAACAACGTCTCCTCGCGGTAAATCAGGTCAAAGAGCTGACAACGTGGAAATGCATGTTAGCTGTAGGAAGCCTTCGCAAATCGGTGGATCTCACTAGCTACATACCAAAATACTGTAGAATAGTTCATGCACAAAGAGGCCCAATGTGGATGTTAGCACATAGCCCAGATGATACAGGAACTCCACGTCCATCACCATGGCCTTGTAGCCCATGATGAACGTCCCATTGTTACCCACAAAGCTCACCACAAACACCACCTTGTTGATTAGCTGCAAGAAAGACAGCAGCCATCATGTCATTTGAGTGCCACGAGCAGGCTTGGGGAGCAACGAAATACATGTACTCACTGATAATTTCACAGTTTGAGCCCTGCGATTCCCAGGGAATCGCTGATCAGAAAAGTATGAGTCCCATTATGCATTCAGAGAGTCCCAAATTTCGAATTCTGAAATTCTTATTCAATTGCATATGATAATAACACAAACAACAACAATATACATTGATAATAGGTTTATTTCTTATCAACAAATGCTACAAAAATGTAAAAAATGCAGGCATACAAGATTTGCTGAGAAATAGGTTCTTATTTCATCCCGTGGTTCAGTCTTTGAGTTCATATCTTCGCAACACTTGTTTGCAACACTTGTTTGAACATTACACAACTTGGCGATCGTCTGCTTTCCACGAAGTGAAGGCCGATCTCGCCAATCTCGTCTCGCGAGAACGGAAATCTCATAACGTGAGATTACTAAACGCAAACACAATGGCGGCGATTCAAACTGCGTTTGTTGCTGGAAAAAAATATTTACCGTAGTTTTGTTGTTGTTTTTTTATTTTTTTTACTAAGAAATTTCCTTGCGTCCCAAAAACGCACATTATTTGGAACTGTGCGTCTGGCGGGAAAATTATGCCTCTAGGACGCAGGCCGCAGAGGTAACGAGATGGCTGGTACTGTGTCAAGATGAGTGACAACATGTCACAAGAAGAACTCTGGGGTGAAAATGAGCACACATAATGTCTAATGAAACAATTAAATGTATCGTGAACAATAAATTGTTGGGGTGTCTTTGAAACTTCCACTGGCTGCCTGGACGAATACACAGAGACTGTGACATCATACATCAGTTTCTGTGAGGACATATGCATACCAACAAAGTCCTTCCACTCCTTCAAAAATAACAAGCCATGGTTCATTGCCAAACTCAGGCAAGTTAGAAAAGCGAAAGAGGCCACCTTTAGAAGTGGAGATCGCACCAAAACCATTTGACAAAGGAAATGAACATCGCAAAGAGAAGCTGAGAAAACAATTTTTCTGCAAACGACTCTGCATCTGTGTGGAATGGCCCGAAAGCAGTTACAAACTACAGGACACCATCACCACCAAGCAGTGAACAATGAGGGACTGGCTGATAAGATAAGAAAGCCTTTATTTGTCTCACAATGGTAAAATTCCCAATTTACAACAAAGGGAGAAAGTGGAAGACAAAAAGTATATCAATAAATATTAATATAAAATATAAATATAAGCATATTAAAAATTGGTGAGTGATGGTGAGTCCAGGTTTTCAGGACCGTCTTTTCAATAGCATCTGTGGATGACGCAGTCAACATAGGGCTGCAAGACATCTTGGAGCACCTTGACGGCACAGGGACCCACGCAAGGATCCTTTTTGTGGGCTTCAGCTCTGCGTTCAACACCATTGTCCTGCAACTCCTCACCTCCAAGCTTCTCCAGCTCACTGTGTCCCCTATGATCTGCCAGTGGATCCTCAGCTTCTTGACGAGCAGGACACAACAGGTGAGGCTGGAAGGACATCATCAACACGCACCAACAGCACTGTGTCCCCCAAAGATGTGTCCTCTCTCTGCTGCTCTTCTCCCTCTACAAGGACTGCACCACAACCTATGCAGCTGTCAAACTAAAAAAGTTCACCAATGACACCACAGTCATCGGCCTCATCAAAGACAAGTCTGCGTACCGACAAGAAGTGGAGCAGTTGGCGCTCTGGTGCAGCCAACACAACCTTGACCTGACCACGTTCAAGACTGTAGAGATGATCGTGGACTTCAGGAAACATCCTTCCCGACACCTGCACCTCACATTAATGCACTTTGTAGAACGCTAATTATTTCAGGAGAGGTAATTGCAACCACCTGGGAATGGCCAATTGTTGCTTGGACCTGATTGGCCTGAACCTCAAGTGAACTCCCTTTAAAAGAGGAATGAGGAAGTCACTGCGCGCCGGACAACTTGGAGAGCAGTGCTACACGTGTTCTGCTAAAAACTGGTCAACTGTTACTCTTGGAAATAAAGAAAACTGGAAAATCTCCTTCCTGGAGCCTGGCTGAATTGTCTTTTTATTCTTTTTTCACCTGGCCTGCTGTTTCGCCGCCTAACAATTGGTGGCAGTGGTGGGACCGATACGCCCTGTGAAGTGGAAGAGAAAAGAGGAAGCCAAGATGAGGAATGTGGGAAGAGGAAGAAGCCGTGCAGCACAGCCAAACCAGACTCAACCGGAGAGCGCTGAAGAGGCTGGGGGAAGCCTGGAGCTTGAGTTACCCTGAAAACAAACTGTTGCCTTTTCCCCTGATGCATCAGACAGTTCCCAAACCCAGGGTGGAGCTGAGCGAAGTGACATGGAACCAGTGGTTCGGCCTAAGACTTTGACAGTGAGTACAACCAGCGATCCACTAACTGAGGGAATTGTTAAAGAAATGAGAGACTTCATGCAATATTCTAAGCATAGAGAGGAAATGTTGATTGAACAGATCAATGAGTTACGAGATCAGATGCACACCAGGAAGCAAGACCGGACATTCGATAGACAAACAAGTCAACATTATCCTCCTCCAAAATCACAGGCCCAAACCCCTGCCCCTCGAATATTGACGCCGACAAACCTTCCTCCGGCAAAAGGAACTCCAACTTAGGGTTACCTACCATATGCCCATTCTCCACAGTTTCCCACTGTAAGTCAAACTGCAATTCCCAGTTAATCAGAACCCAGAATTCCAGATCTTAAAGAGGGTGAGGATGCAGAAAGTTTTTTTGTTAGGTTTGAAAGAATATCTAAAATCTGGGGGTGGAGGTATGATGAGTGGGCTGCCAGAGTCGTGACCTTATTGACTGGAAGGGCACTTGAAGCATATGCTGGCATGGATGAAGAGCAGGCAGAGTCCTATGAGGCTATTAGGGCAGCAGTGTTACTCAAATACAATGTTACTGAAGAAACATATCGGCAGAGGTTTCGCAGCACCATCGTTCCCTTGGGAGAGACTGTCAGAGAAAGTTATAATCGACTAAAAGGACTGTACAGGAGGTGGATGTGCCCAGACCAGGGGTCGGCAACCCAAAATGTTGAAAGAGCCGGACAAAAACAACAACAAAAAAAAAAAAAAACAAATATGACTGTTGGAGCCGCAAAAAATTAAAAGCCTTCTATAAAACTCACAATGAAGGAAACACATGCTGTATGTATGTAGGAGACTGGATTGTCTCAGAATTGTTTATTTATTCCTTTGTTGTGTGTTCACAAACACCCACATAGATTTTTTGTGATTCCTCGCTTGATTTTCTTGTTTTGGTGCATTATTTTCGCTTTTCTTAGTGTCAGTGAGGTGATCATGAATTTCCGTTTTTCGGAGGCTGTCTTTGAACGCCTCTCGAGTTGAACGAGAAGAGAGAAGGCACGGAGTCGGACGCAGACGTGTCTGTTTTTGTCGAGACTGTTAAAAGCATAAAAGTGTACGTTTTAAAAAACCAACACCACAGCTCTCCTTTTTCGGAGCTGCAACATGTATCAATATCTATTTGAGCTACATTAGCCTACTATCAAAATCTGTCTCCATTTTCAAACATTTTTATAAAGCTCCAGGGAGCCACTAGATGTCGCTAAAGAGTCGCATGTGGCTCTGGAGCCGCGTGTTGCCGACCCCCGGCCCAGACCATCGCAGCAAGGACCAGATTGGAGAAGTTGTCATTCTGGAGCAGTACTTGAGAGTTCTTCAACCTGAGGTCCGCATTTGGGTAAAGGAGCACAACCCTAAGACTGGAGAGGAAGCAGCGGAGTTAGCAGAGCGCTACATAGCAGCACACCGGGAGCCCTACAGGAAGAAGGGGGCTAACTGTGAAGCTCAAGTACGAAGGACACCGACCCATTCAACCGGCAGACTTGGGTAATGCTGACATTGGGGCTCGGAGACAGTTTGCAAAGTTACATCTAAAAGGTGACTTTATCTGTTTTGATTGTCTACAACCTGGCCATAAGGCTTCCGTGTGTCCTGGACGAAAACCCAAAGCTGTCAAATTTTGTTCAGTACCTAGAGCGGGGCAAGAAATATTTCCACAGGGAAATCATTGTAGACATAGACATACAACCTCTGTAACTGTAAATGGGCAAGTGATAAAAGCACTGGCTGACACAGGCAGCAATCAAACATTAGTTAAAGCCAGTTTAGTCAGTAGTGGTTTGCTCAATTATGAGAAGGTTGTAAATATCACTTGTGTTCATGGTGACAGTCAGGATTATCCCACGACCAATATGACTTTTGGGATTGAGGGCCAATTTTTCACACTTAAGTTTGGTGTATTCATTCATTCATTTTCCGAACCGCTTGATCCTCACTAGGGTCGCGGGGGTGCGGGAGCCTATCCCAGCTGTCTTCGGGCAGTAGGTGGGGGACACCCTGAATCGGTAGCCAGTATTGAAGAATTTATTTTATGATGTTGTTTTGGGAGATGACTTACCTATATTGGACCATGTTGTCCAGAAAATCTCAAAAAATTGCACATGCATGGCAGTCACAAGGTCTCAAACTAAAGGGTTGGAACCATTACCTAATCTTGATGATACACTTGTCTAAGCAGGAGGCAAGGTAAAGAAAACTAGACGGCAGCGTAGGCAGGAAAAGAACCGGGCAAGTGTTCCTACTAACCTTTCAACCCAGACTGGTATTGAGGGCCCAATCATTCAACCTGAGTGGCAGATTCCTGAGAATTTTAGAGAACATCAGAAAAATGATCCAACTTTGAAATCACGGTTTGAGAAGGTTTTTGAAGTTGATGGGTTGCCATTGGGTGGCAAAAAGAGCTTGCAAGGAATCACTGGAGACCCGTTTATATTAAAAGATGACTTATTGTCAGAGCAACACCTCGATTGGTCATTCCTACCATGTACAGGCAGCTCATCCTACATTTAGGACACACTATTCCATGGGCACCACATCTCGGACAGGCAAAAACGTATGACAGAGTTAGTCAGCAATTCAATTGGCCAGGGCTATACAAAGACGTGCAGGAATATTGCAGGCTATGTTGCACTTGTCAGATGGTTGCACCAGCTAAAAAGTCGGATAGGGGTTATTTACAGCCATTACCCATCATGAGTGTTCCATATGACAGGATAGCCATGGACATTATCGGTCCGTTGCCAAAGAGTAGCTCAGGATGCAAGTATGCCGTTGTAATCTGTGACTATGCAACCAGGTATCCAGATGTTTATCCACTTGGTTCTATGCAGGTAAAACATGTAGTGCGGTGCTTGATTGAGTTGTTCTCGAGAACAGACATTGCTAAGGAAATATTAACAGACCAAGGCACAAGCTTCATGTCTCACCTGATGAAAGGCCTATATATCCAGCTTGGAGTTAAAGGAATAAGAACCACTCCTTACCATCCTGAATCTGATGGTCTTGTTGAAAGATTTAATGGAACGTGAAAACATATGTTGAGAAAGTTCATTCATGACACTGGTAAAGACTGAGACAAATGGCTGCCTTTTCTGTTATTTGCTTATCGAGAAGTGCCCCAGGCGTCAACTGGGTTTTCACCTTTTGAGTTGCTTTATGGTAGACAGGTCCGTGGACCCCTGGACATGCTGAAGGAGAACTGGGTGGCTGGAGAGGCGACCTCACACAGTGTCATCTCCTATATTCTTCAAATGAGGGACAAGTTGGAGAATTTCAGAGACATGGCAAAGAAACATATGGAGGAGAGTCAGAAAAAACAAAAGGTATGGTATGATAAACATGCCAGAGAGAGAGATTTGCACCCTGGACAGAAGGTGTTAATATTGTTGCCTACTGGACCAAGTAAGCTCCTGGCAAAATGGCAGGGCCCATACACTGTGACCAGGAAAATAGGACCTATAACGTATGAGATTCTCTGCCCTGACAAACAAAAGAAGAACCAGATTCTTCACGTGAATCTGCTGAAGCTATATGCCGAGAAACAATCGGAGACACCCAGCTCCCAAAGTGTCTTCATCAGAGAAATTCCAGTGACTGAGACAGAGGAGATGGATGAGGCTGAGATGACACCCAAGAGGGAAGGAAGTAATCCTGAAGAGACCCCGTTACACCTGAGCCCAGAGCAACAAATTCAGGTGGCAGAGGTAAAGGAATCATATTCGTAGTTAATCAAAGATAAACCTGGTGGAACTGATCTCATCACCCACAAGATTGTGCTCAAAGAAAATAAACCTGTGCGTTTGAGGCCATACAGGATTTCAGAGCGGCAGGTGGAACCACTGAAAAAGGAGGGACAACCAATGCTCGATATGGGGATCATAGAACCATCGAAAAGTGAATGGTCTAACCCAATTGTGTTGGCACCCAAAAAGGACTCATCTCAACTACGATTCTGCTCAGACATGAGGAAGCTCAATAGTATCTCATGTTTTGACTCCTACCCTATGCCTCCTATTGATGAGCTCGTGGAAAGATTGGGTAGAGGGAAATTCATCACAACTCTCGATCTATGTAAAGAATACTGGCAGGTCCCGCTGGACCCCACCTGTAAAGAATACACTGTTTTTCGGATTCTGGGATTAGGGCTATTCCACTTCACAGTTTTACCATTTGGTCTGCATGGAGCACCTGCGACCTTTCAAAGATTAATGGACATTATCCTCAAGGACTCTTCCAGTTTTTCAGCTGCCTATCTCGATGACGTCGTGATCTACTGTGAAAATTGGGAGGACCATCTCCTGCACCTTAAGACTGTCCTTGGGAAAATACAGGCAGCTGGTCTCACCATTAATGAGAGGAAATGCGCCTGGGCACAAGAAGAGGTGAGTTACCTGGGGCATTTGATCGGGAAAGGGAAGATAAAGCCCCAGGTGGAAAAAGTGAAGGCTGTAGAGAAGATACCAATTCCCCAGACCAAGAAGCAACTGAGATCATTTCTTGGACTGATTGGTTGGTATAGGAGGTTTATTCCACATTTTGCCACATGAGCAGCTACTTTAACCGATTTCACAAAGAAGAACATTAAATCTCCTTTACCATGGACAGCAGACTGTGAACAAGCTTTTAAGGCCTTGAAGTTTTTCATCTGTCAAGCTCCTGTATTGCAGAGTCCAGATTTTTCCAAGGAGTTCCTCGTGTTGGTCTTGGTGCGGTGCTGGTGCAAGGCAGTGTTTTTGAGGAGAGACCCATCCTGTTCCTGAGTAGGAAACTTTTTGAAAGGGAGAAGAAATACTCGACCATTGAGAAGGAAGCTCTAGCCATCAAGTGGGCTGTGGACTGCCATCATTACTACCTCCTTGGAAGAGAATTCAGATTACAAACTGACCATCGAGCTCTGAAATGGATGCACTCCACGCAACACCAAAATGCCAGGATACTGCGGTGGTGTCTTGCCCTTCAGCCATACCAGTTCACCATTGAGCATTGTCAGGGTAAGACAAACGTTATTGCTGATTGTTTGTCAAGGTTGTCGGAACCTGGGGGAGAGGGGGTGAGAAATGTCATGATGACAAAAGACATATATTAAAAATTGTTTTTTTTGTGGATTTTGGATGGAAGAAAGTTGCACATTTCTCTCCATCCAACACTGTTATTGTGTGATACTTAATGCACTTTGTAGAACGCTAATTATTTCAGGAGAGGTAATTGCTACCACCTAGAAATGGCCAATTGTTGCTTGGACCTGATGGGCCTGAAGCTCAAGTGAACTCCCTTTAAAAGAGGAATGAGGAAGTCTGCGCACCGGACAACTTGGAGAGCAGTGCTACACGTGGTCTGCTAACAACTGGTCAGCTGTTACGCCTGGAAATACAGAAAACTGGAAAATCTCCTTCCTGGATCCTGGCTGAATTGCCTTTTTATTCTTTTTTCACCTGGCCTGCTGTTTCGCCGCATAACACTGAGTCTGCTGGGGAAGCATGGCCTGCCACAGGAGGTGCTGAGACAGTTCTACACAGCAGTCATCTTATCAGTCCTGTATCCTTCCATCACAGTGTGGTTTGGGGCCATCATTAAAAAAAAAGGACAAAATATGACTGCAACTGACAGTTCGGACTGTGGAAAAAAATCTTTGGCACCGCCTGACCCACTCTCGAGGACTTGCACACTGCAAGAACCAAGGGAAGGGCACGGGAAATGCTTTTGGACCACCCATACTCTCCCAAATACCTCTTCCAGCTACGCTTCAGCAATGCGTACCGACTGTATGGGAGCGTATAAGGCCACTCGTCTGAGATGACACCATCAACAGGGACACATTGCTTCAACGGTGGCAGTGGGAAGTTGGTTCCCAGCCTTGACCGGGTATGCTTATTTTTTCCAATCCGGTCAGCTGTTTTTTTTGGACACGTCACAAGGAAGAAAATGACAGCTCAGGCTGAAATGACAACCGAAAGTTTTTTTTCTTTCCTAAAAAAGACCATTTTCTGTTAAAAAAGAAACATTTGACAGCTCAGGCTGAAATGACAACCGAAACTGTCAGTTCGGTCAGAGTTTTTTTTCTTTACTAAAAAAGACCATTTTCTGTTAAAAAAGAAACATTAAACCTATTTCAACTAATCAGAACACAAGATAATGTCATAGCGTTAACAATCACCATGTTTTTCGCCAATCAAAAAACCTCAGCTACACGGTCAGCGTCTCCAGCAGAAGAGTCTCGAGTGAACCAAAAGCCTAAGATTCAAGAGAGCGCCGCCTTCTACACCACCAACACAAACCTCTTTGCCTCTTTCAGAAGAGGCAACATTGATAGCTTGTAATTACTGTATAAGGTTGTATAAATAAAGATCTAAATAAATACGTGCACTGTTGTAATCTTTGTTTCAGATATGTAAAATATAAATACTGTTTACATATTTTAAACATGCTGGTACCTGTGATGTTTCTTGCTTGCAATAACATAAATGATCAGACAGACAATAACATCGTGGACAGCAGCTCTTCCATCGAGCTTACTCCCGCATGTACATTCATGTAACTGGTCTGTTGTCAAGTGCCTGCAGCCCCAGACCTTCACTAACAGAGGGCGCTAACATACTGTGGAACGGCCATGAAATCCTGATTCACATCAAACTGTATGCAAACATTACATCCACATACATAAACGTGAAAATTCCTAGGAGGAGGGGCAAATCCTACTGTTCACTTTTTGTGGGGGTGGTCCATTACCAATTAACCACGAAAAACGAGGGATTACTGTACATACATATACATGTGCGCACACACACACACACACACACACACACACACACACACACACACACACACACACACACACACACACACACACGCAAACACACACACACACGCAAATACACAGAGAGAGAGAGAGAGAGAGAGAGAGAGAGAGAGAGAGAGAGAGAGAGAGAGAGAGAGAGAGAGAGGGAGAGAGAGAAAATAGTAGCAAATGTACTGGAACAAACATTGATTGGCACATACAGTATCTTTGCAACCTTTTGCTATATTGAATGAACCCTGACGAAAAACCAACATTCGGGCTGTGCGCAGGGACTCGCAAACCATCGCCGTTCAGTGAAATCGGGCTTTAAATGGATCACATTTACAAAGTAATATTTGATGGCATTACTCTTACTTGCAATAACTACATCAAGGCTGCGACCCATTGACTTCATCAGACTGTTGCATTCTTCTTTTGAAATATTTTTCTCAGCCTTTACCGCAGCCTCTTTCAGTACTTATTTGTTGCTGGGGGTTTCTCCCTTCATTCTCCTCTTCAAGAGGTAAAATGCAGGCTCTCTTGGGTATAGGTCTGGTGATTGACTTTGCCATTTTAAGAACTTCCACTTTTTCTCTTGATGAAGTCCAATGTTATGTTGGCAGTGTTTTTGCGACAAATCTTGCTGCATGACAAAGCTTCTAACCCGAAAAGGATGCATTTCTCTATAAATTGTCATACAAAATGATTTTGTAGACTTGAGAATTCTAGAAGCCATGCAACCCCAAGCCATGACATTACCTCCACCGTGCTTCACAGACGAGCGTGTGTGTTTTGGATCATAAGCAGATCCTTTCTCACTCCATAATCTGGCCCATCCATCCATTGGTAGAGGTCAAGGTTGGTCTTGTCAGTCCATAAAACTTGAAAAACCTTTGTGACTCATTTCTGTACTTATTTGCAAAATACACTCTCATGATTGGAAACATGGTGGAGGTCATGTCATAGCTTGGGTTTGCATGCCTGCTTTTAGAACTGGCTCACTAGTCTTTATTAATGATGTAACTAATGATGGTCACAGCAGAATGCATTCTGAAATCTGCAAAAAATTTCACTGGCAATTTAAATAAAAATACATCCAATCTTATCAGGATAAGATTGATCATGCACACCCTTCCGATTCCTTTTGCTAATGAGCGCTTCACATCTTCTGGTATTGCCTGTGTATTTCTTTTCTCAAAGTCTTCTTTGAACAGTGGATTGTGATAGCTTCAGCCCCTGTCCTGTCGTGGCTGAAAGTGATCTCACTGACTGTTCTTCAAGGCTCTCACAATGGTTCTGTCATAAACTGCTGTTGATACTTTTGGCTGGCCCTTGACCCGTTCGATGTCTGTTGCTCAGTACACCAGTATTTATTTATTTATTTATTTGTTTGTTTGTTTGTTTGTTTGTTTGTTTGTTTATTTATTTATTGTTAAAGGATATTCCAAGTTGTTGTATTGGCTCTGCCCAGTGTTTGTCCAAAAAGCTTTAATCGATTTAATCTCTTCTCTCAACTTCAATATTGTAAACAGCTCTCTGGTCTTCATGTTTCAATGCGGTTTTCACAGGTGAAACCCAAAGTTAAAAACAAGTACAATCTAATTTATAAGCAATCAATCCAAAAGGCAACACCTTAGCAACTACAAACACCCATCAGTCACATGTTCCAATACATTTGCTCACTAGAACAGTCTTAGGGTTCAAACAAAAGGTGCTCTGTCCTGAGTTTGTTTCACATATGTGGGTGTAAATACCATGAAATAAAAGCTGGACTTAATTCATTCTAAAATGTCTTCGGTAACCAAAAAAACAAAACATAACAAAAACAAAACAAAGTATTTGACCCTGCTGCACCAATAATTTTGAAGTGGACTGTATACAGTAACATTAAGAGACATGTTCCAGTCTTATATTGGGTGATTTGATTGGTCTTACATTGAGCGTGCCCAGAAAGATGAGTGTGTTCCTGATACCCAAGTGGTAGATGGACCTCAGGATGAGAGCCAAAGTCAGCGGCTGAAGGCCATAGCGCTGGGAGAGCATGGCCAGCACAGAGAGCCCGGTCAGAACCCAAAATAGCATCAGTAGCAAAGAGTCATCGATGGCTCCCGCTGGTAGTAGGGGGGAGGGGGGGGGGGGTTAATTTGCTGACTAAACACATTGGACATGTGACATCAACTGAGTATGCTCACTCGTACCTTGTCCTGAGTCATAGGGGTAGAAGAAGGCGATGATGAGGTTGATGAAGACAGCCAGGTTGAAGGAGATGGTGCCCCACAGTGTCATCCTCCTGGAGAACCAGTAGAGCACTGGCATGCCTACCACACATTTGGGTCATTCAAGTGTGTATGAGTACATGAATGTGTGTGTGATTGCAGGCCTGCTCGTTTAAGAGTGAGCGCCACGGACCTAATCAGGATTATCTCCCTCATTAACCACTGAGAAGCTCGCTCATCCACACAACTGAATATGAGAGCATGTCAATGTCGCCCCGGGTCATTTAAACACAACATTACATTATTGCAAGAATATTAAAGGGATAATAGTCACTTTTCCATTACAGCAGTGGTCCCCAAACTTTTTCCTGTAAGGGCCACATAACTTTTCGCGTCTCTGATGGGGGGCCGTGGTCAGTTTTGAAATAGAAAAAGTGTGACTGCAAGAGGACCTAAACGTAAAAATGTATTGTTTTCCAGAAACCCACACAAAATCAAATATCCTTTTCTAGAGTTTTCGCAGAACAAAATTCAGGAAATAAATAATAACACTATTAATGAAATAAATAATAACTAAATAACCCTCCACAGGTTCTTCACAGAAAAAAGCCAGGAAATAAATTACACCTTTTATGAAATAAATAATAATCACCTTTGCTCTGATGAAGTTTATGCATGACACCACAACCTTGATGACAGAATCCCAAGTCAATACTTTGCAGCACAGTGCGTGCTTGCTGGTGTATTAGGCAGTGAATTTGAAACCCTGTTCTTCCATTTCCCGCTTCATGCGTCCTATTAGACCCCCGAGACACGCACACCATACTCGGAGCCCCGTCAATTGTGTTGCTGGCCAGCGTTGACCAGTCCAGGTCTAACTCTTCCATAGTTTGGTGCACTTCACCAAAAATATCCTCCCCCATCTTGGTCACTTTGAGATTTTGGAGGGCTGCCAGCTCCTCGCACATCTCAAAGTTTGCACTAACTCCACGAATACAAATTTGCAGTTGTGCTGTGTCCTGCACGTCCATGGTGTCATCCAGTGCTATTGAAAATAATTCAAATTCTTTCGTCTTTTGCTGCAGCTGGGCACATACATTACCAGTGATTTATTCGATACGGCTGGTGATTGTATTCGCTGATAGACTTGCGGTATTAAAGACGTCTTTCTTTTCAGGACACACCTCCGCGACAGCATTCATGCATTTCTTGACAAACTCTCTATTAATATAAGGTTTACCGATGCTTGCTATCAGTTGAGCCACCTGAAAGCTAGCCTGAACAGATGGCTGGTTCAGTTGACCTTGGCATACAAATGTATTTTGCTGAGCTCACATTCCTCTTTTTAGCTTTGACAGTTTGTCTGCTTGCATTTGGCCATCGTACTTGTCTTTGTGACGGAATTCATCATGTCTCCGCCGATTGTACTCTTTGAATATCGCCACCGCCTCCTGACAGATAAGACAGACAGCCTTTTCTTTGCATTGAACAAAAAAATAATAGTTTCTCCACTTTGGGTTGAATACCCTGTATTCTAAAACATTTTTTTCTCTTAACTAACCTTTTCGCCATGATTATGTTCTTTTTGAGAGGGGCGGATTTAGGATTTTTTCTGGGGTTGCCAGATAATGGCGCAGACCGCAAAAAGAGGAACAAATGTCGCGTTATATGAGTTTATGAAATAGTTACTAATTAATAGTTAATAATGAAAATAGTTCAGAACTAAGGAACACTTTATTGCAAAGGCCCAACTTTATGATCAAATACAAATACACATTGATGAATAATAATCAAAATACTCTCTGGTATTGTTCAGGGGGGCCGGAACAAACGCGGGCCGTAGTTTGGGGACCACTGCATTACAGGTTCTAGAAAAATGGCCTGACACCAGACTGCACCGGCCTCTTTTGGCCCGGCCTGGCCTCTATTGCTTTTTCATTAAACAGAACCAAAATAGATTATTTCTGTATTGCATGTGACAGTGTTTCAGTGGAATGTGTTGAGAGTGTTTTAGTAATGCCTGTGAGAGAATTTTTTTGTAATGTGAGTGAGTGTTTCAGTAGTGTCTGTTTCAGTAGTGTGAGTAAAACTTTTTTGGAAGCACATGACAACATTCCAGTAGTGTGTGTGAGCAAAAGATTTTTCGGAAATGTGCTAAAGCAGCGGTTCCCAACCTTTTTTGTCCCACGGACTGGTTTAATGTCAGACAATAATTTCAGGGACTGGTCTTTTAGACCGGATAAATACAACGAAATGACCTGCATGAAAACTGTGGTATTTCATAAACATAATATTAAACACGAATCATGACACGAGAAACGTCCTATCTGGCAGCAACACTCTCTGGTCACCATGGTAACATTGAAACGTGCCTTCAAAATAAGATACACTACAAATAAAAGTGCATGAAAAATACGACTCACCATCGCCGCATATTATGCAGCTCGGGTTTGGTGCATGGAAATTTTTTGTTGAGATAAATCCATAAAGTAGGCCTCTTGATACTGTCTATTAAATGTAGCCTTCTTTTTCTTGAAAGTCGTAGGCTCCTGTTTGGTCTACTTTCCAAAGTTTTTTACTCTTTTTGCTTGCTCCTGGGTTTCCTTTTAACAGTAACCCATCACGTGACCGAGAAGCGTGTCTTGACCTGCGTCAAGGCTGTAGACCAGGGGTGCCCAACCTTTTTTGTCCCAAGGGCTACTTTTCAAGAAACCAACCTCTGGAGAGCTACCAGTTCTAAACTAAAAGTCCCAGGGCCAAGCCAATTGGCTTTCCTACATAGAATGCCCAAAGGGCAGCCAACTGGCTGGATTTGTTTTACCATTGATCTGCAAATGAGGAAAACTCTGGTGTGAACAACACAACTCAGAAATGGCCATTCGCATGCTAACGTGAAGAAAACCACCACATTTCATTTGAACAAGGTGGGGGAAGCGCCTCACCTTGCTGCATTTACAGAACAATGTTGACAAAATGGATCGTTGACTTGTTGGTTTTGTTGTTGGTCCTCTGGGTGTTCTGGAGGGGTAAGAAAATCCTGGGACTTATAGTGCGAATCTGCATGATGAGCAATAGCCATTACTGACCTTAATATGAACCAAACAGAAAAAAAAAACAGCTACGAAACTGGTAGATTTCTGTTTGGATTGGACTTGATGATGTTCATGTGCGAGAAAGCAGACTCGCACAAATAGGTTGATCAAAAAAGAGCTGTCAGGTTCAAAGCACATCTGAGATTGGGATACTTCTCTGCCACCAGTAGTTTCCAGAACACTACAGTGATCCCTCGGTATTTCACACTTTGATTTTCGGGGCCTCGGTGCATCACGGGGTTTTTTTCCCAAAGTACTGTATTCAGAAAAAATGCCGAATGACTCAGAGGTTTTGTGCATGGCTGTAACTTGATTGTTTCCCGGCGCCGACGTCGACCAATGACAGCACGAGTGGATCTACCCCATGATGCACAGCCATGTTGATTGGCTGTGCATTTCTCAGCACCGCCCAGCACCCTCCCTTCTGTCACGTGGGTTACTCTTTGATCAGGTCTAATCCAGTGCTTGCCTAGATCAGTTTTGTGTTTACTACACGTGTTAGTGTGTGTGTGTGGGGGGGGGGTGCGTGCGTGCGTGTGTGTGTGTGTGTGTGTGTGTGTGTGTGTGTGAGAGAGAGAGAGTGTGGCTGGGGGAAGCGCACAAGAGAGAGAGAGTAAAGGGGTGTTCACACGGCAACATTTGCTCCGGTGCAGTGTCGTGGCTGCCCCAATAGAGCGTTCACACGTGCAAAGTTACACCAATGTAGCCCCTGAAAAAAGCTTAAACCGGAGCAAATTTAAACTTGCTCAAGGAGGTGGTTAAAAATTTGCTCAGGAGCAAATGCTCATTTGCGGGGCAGCACCTATGTAAAATGGTACGTGTGAACGCTACAATTTGCTCCGGAGCAAATGCTCGTGTGCGGGAGGGGGGGTAGCCTCGCTACGCATGAGAAGGGTTGATTACGTACGGCTAGAATGTGTTGCTTTCGTGCTCTGTTGTACTTACGTCATCTTTCCTCTTGTAGGAGACTGGACTGTCTCGGAGTTGTTTGTGTAGTTTGTTCCTCTGTTGTGTGTTCACAACGCCTCCATAGAATTTATTTTGTGATTGTCTCTCTTGATTTTCTGTTTGGCTCATTATATGTTTGCTTTTCTGAGTGTCATTGAAGTCATCGTTGATTTACGTTTTCGGGGGCGGTCATTGAAAGCCTCTCGAGAAGGAGAAGGACATGCCTGTGTAGTAGTTGCTTGAGTTGTGTATGTTTTAAAAAGAACCAACACGACAGCTCTTTGTTTTGCACCGCTGCAGAAACTGCCGTGTGAACTCAAGTGGGGCTGCGGCGGGGCTGCACCGGGGTTCACACGCTCAGCGGCTTTGTACGTGTGAAC